AGTTCTCAGTGTCCTCTGCCTTCCAGCCTGACGGCACCCGGCACACCCTGACCAGGACCGGTAAGCAGGGCCTGGCCTGCTGTGTGCTGCCACTAACCTGCCACTAACACGCCCGCTCCCCCTGGCGCTCACCCACAGGGAGGCGGCCTGGGAAGCCCACCCCCACCGCTCCCTCCAACCTCTGTGCTCTGCCCGCAGACTCGCCACCGGGGCCTGCTGGACCTCGCTCCCAGCTCTAAGAGGCGGCTGAAGCCGGCAGCTGGGCCTGGTCACCCCATCTTTTCCCTCAGCCCCTGCCCCTCAGGAGCCTCCTAATAAAGACCGCCCTATTGCAGCTCCGCTGTCTGCGCCCTGACTTGGGGAGGGAGGTCACCCACAGGTGTCGGCAGGTGCTGTGGCTCAGAGGGGCTGTGAGAGTTCAGGGGCCAGGCGATGGCAGACGTGGGCAGTACTTCACATTTATTGAGGGCCTGCCCCCCAAGGAGTTCACAGCCTGGGGATTCAGCCCCTACATGTGCTGGGGTGGGGGAGGAAAGGAAGTCAAGGCAAAAAGGCAAGCAATGCAGACACCGTGGCTGAAGCAAAGGGGGTGCAAAGCAGGCACAGGCAGGGGGCCTGGGGTGGGCAGGGGAGTGGCAGCCTGGCAAGTCCTGCCAGGGGACCTGACCAAGCAGAGGCGTGAAGGCTGCCCGCCCCTACCAGGGTGGGGTCACCTGGGGTGCACTAGAGGTATCCTAGCTCCTCCGCCTACTGAGCCAGATCCCACCATCGTGTTGGCCTCTCCACCCAGTGCTCTGACATGCAGACCCCTGATGGAAAGCAGGCAGCTGGGGTCTGGGGCCCTGGCCAAGATGGCAGGACGGAGGAGGACCTATGAGGGGGCAGCTTGAAGCCTTGATGGTCCTAGGCCCCTGGTAAGTCCCCAAAGAACTTCTTGGGCCAGCTAAGGAGGGGAGGGAGGCAGAATCCCAATAAACAGGAGGAGGCCCCAAGAGGCCTAGCCCCTCAAAACTGCTGGGGAGGCTTGGGGGGCGGACAGGTGAAAGGCCGAGAGGAACCCACCTGGGGGAGGGGTCAGCCAGACACAGAGCATCCAGGCGGGCAGCAGCAGAGCAGGGACACGCACACAGGGCTCACCACCAGCATCCCCTTTAATAAAACGTGGAAGGTTGTATGACAGGGAAGGGGGAGTGAAATATGACCATTTACAACCACACAAAAACCTCTGTACATGTCTAGTGCCTGGCAGAGGGGAGGGCAGCAGGGCAGCGGCGGGCAGAGCCAGCCCTATTTGTAGAGGATGTCGTAGTGTCCAGGCCGGTAGAGAAGGTAGACCTTGGGCTCGGAGCCCTCGGGGAAGATGTGCGGGTTGGTGGTGCCGCCCTCGCCGCGGTCCATGTACTCCACCTGGATGGAGACGTTGAGGGCCTGGGCCAGCGCGATGATGTGGATGTGGTCGCTCTCCTTGCACATGGGCTCCACCTCCTGCAGCACGGGTGCAGGTCAGGGCCCGGGTCTCAGCACCCCGCCCCATGCCCCCACTGACCCCAGGCACTCCCCCAGGCCCCGGTGCTCCCCACCCCGAGAGGAAAAAAAAGGGAGGGCCCTGAATCTGAGAAGTGAGGCGGGGGTGGCACCTGCTGGCAGAACTCCTTGACAGTCCGCCCACCCTCAATGAAGTGCTCGAAGAACTTGCTCTCCCGCTGCAGGTAGCCAGAGGTGAGCAGCCGCAGGTAGACCACCAGGTAGTCCGAGGTGCTCTGGTCGTGGAAGGAAGCCAGCAGGTCGGCTACTGAGGTCTGCTTCTCCACCTGCTCGATCAGGTCCATGAACTGCCACCGGAAGAGAGACAGACAAGATGAGGGAGGAGATGGGTCAACCCGGCCACGGCCAGGCCACCCACCTCCACTCTGGCCGACAGGCAGTAAGGACTGGGCTCACCGTGTTGTGGAAATCCTCAATTGTGAACTCGGTGAAGCCCTGGGACACCAGGTCTTCTTTGCTCTTGGCAGACACAGCCTTGAACCTGGTGGCAGGAGGGGAAGGGAGGGGGCATGGGCCCCTCAGTCAACAGAGTAGGGGCGCAGCCTCTTGTCTGGCCTCGGGTGGAACTGTACCTCCTAGTCATCAAGGAGGAGGGGGCCCCACATGCCCTCATGCCCCTCACCCACCTCCTTCAGTGCCAGGGCGCCCACCATCCTCACCTCTGCAACTCCTTGCTGTCATCCAGCAGCGCCTCCAGGTGCGAGAAGCCGAAGGCTCGGTAGAAGCAGTTCCCGTCGGGCCTGGTCTTTCGGATGTACGAGTACTTTTTGTGGAGGTCCTGCAGAAAGGCAGCCCCGCCCACCCGTGCCCATCAACGTCGGCCAGAACCAGGGCAGGCCAGGAACCGCCCAACAAGGGCCACACCACAGCAGTGGCACCTGAGCTCCAAGCAGCCACCTGCCAGCCTTGGCTGCTGACGCTGGTGGCGGAGTCCCGTGGTGACCCACTGCCCAGAGCCCCCAAAGCCTCGGGAGCCACGACGGATGTCCACACTGGTTGCATGAGTCACCAAAGCAGTCACTAGCCACTGGCCGCACAGGCTCTACCTCCAGTACCCGAGTGCCTGGGCCTGCAGGGCTGTCTGTCCCTAACAAGGAGCGAGTGGCTCCGTCCTGGGCCAGTGCAGCTGTCCCGGGATCAGGCTTTCAAACCAGGAGACCAGGCAAACTGGTTCGGGTCGGGGTGCACACCCCCCGGCCGGGGTGTGAGACAGCTCCCCTCAGCTCCTTCTCAACTCTACCCGGCAGCTCACAGGTACCACCTCCGTGTACCGTCTTCCCGTTTCCTACCCAAACACCATGGACTTTCTTCTGTCACTCAAACCTGCCCCCACAAGTGGGCCAATAGTGCTGCCTGGCAAACAGGCCTCATTCCCTGGCTTGGACACCCTCCCCTGCTCCCTAATGGCTACTTCGTACTTCTCCACTCTCCTTAAACGGGGCCCCCCAAGATACCTCCACACTTTCCTTCCCACCCTCTCCTTGTCCTCAGACCTCACTGCCACTCCTCCTCGTCCCTCTAACCTATGATGGTCAGGGTCACCACCAAACCACAACACCCTTCAAGACATGGCATGTCACCTGCCAGAAGATGGTCACAACACATGTCCATCCACAGTGACTGTCACACGCATGGCACAACCCTGCTCAGGCCTGGGACAGCTTCCGCTTGTCAACTCTCTTGATGTCATCAACCTTGGGGTTTAAATAGCCTTAATGGAACTCTTCGCCTGCCCTATCTCAGGCCTGAACTCCAATTTCAGCTCACACATCCCACCGCCTCATCTATGCCTCCTCTGAACTGCCTGGCAAGGCAGGTCCTGACCTCCCGGCGAGCCTGCTCCTCTGGGCCTTCCCCTCAATCAACTGCACTCCCTTTCAGCTAAAAGCCTCAGGGTCATTGCCGACATCCCTTTCACCACACCCAACCCAACCCAACCCAACCCAACGCAGACCCTTCTCACTACTGACCTCTCCCGCCTCCTGCTGAGCTGATTGCGAAGCTCCCATCTCAGGTCTCCTTGCCTCCACCTGCACTCAGCCTACTCTCGCCCCAGAAACCTGCTGATACCCTCATCTTCCTCTAAGTCCTTTCTCTGGTTGCAGCCCCATTTCCCACCGCCAGCTGCTCCCCGCTTGCCTCCACGTGCTCCTCAAACCACCCATGTACTCCTGCCCCAGCGGCCACAACCTACTCCTGTGCCCGTCAGCTCAATCACTCCACCACCACCGCTCAGCTACCCCTGGCTTAGATCTGTCTTCCCACTAAGCTCCACGAGGGAGGAGTGTGCCAGCGGAGTCATCACTCTATCTTCAAGGCCCAAAACAGTGCCTGGCCCACAGTCTGTGCTCATAAATGTCCAGACAACAGCTCTCAATGCGCACAAAGAGCCCAATCACTGCAGCTCCCAGGGCGCCCCCAGAACCCTCTGAGCACTTTCCCCGGCAGGCGGCACACGGAGGTGGGACCGGTGAGCCGGCGGGTAGAGCTGAGAAGGAGCCGAGGGGAGCTGTTTCCCACCCCGGAGGGTAGCACCCATTATCCTACTAACCCTCAGAGGAGCCCATTTCACAGGGCAACCCAGCTCTGTTTAGGCTCTGCCATCTCTGCTTTCGGCACCTCCCTAGAAGCAAAGTTGGGCTCGGGCACAGCAGAGTGGGGGTGTCAGTTCTCCTGCACACACAGCATGCCGACACTCGCACATTCGCTGAATGACTTGATGGGAAAGAACCCAAGACATCCCCCTGTCGATTTTACCAGGGTGGCCTAAGTGTGACAGGGAAGTCTTGAAATAAGGCCCCACTCCACTAACCAACCACGTGAGGAAAAGAAGAGACCTACGGCTGGTTAAGCCCTGGCCCTGCACTGCGCAGAGCTCAGCGCTAACCACCGGCACCCCCCAGCACCACGCTCGCCCTGTGAGGCGGGGACCTCCGCCCAGGGATGCTCAGGGTGCCCGAGATCACACAGCTGGAAGTGGAAGATGACTCCAACCCAGGTCTGTCAGGCCCCAGGACAGTACCTTCACCTCCCCACAGACCTTGGGTAAATCGCAAACACCCTGAGCAAGGGTCAGAGTAGACCACAGGCCACACAGCTGGATCTGGCTTGTATATATCGTTTGATCCACATAACATTTTATTTTTTAAATCCTCACCCGAAGGTATTTTTCCATTGATTTTTTAGAGAGAGAAAAAGAGAAATTTGAAGAGAAACATATTAATTGGTTGCCTCCTGCACAGGGCCCGGGCCAGGGAGGAGCCTGCAACCTAGGTAATTGAACCCGGGACCCTTCGGTCCACGATGTTCTAGCCACTGAGCAAACCAGCTAGGGCAATCCACATAACATTTTTAATGTGAACTACCTGCCAACTGTCAGGAACCTGGAGATTTCTTATCAAAATAATTTCCGGCTTCTCTTGGGAAAACAGATCTGGCAACAACGGAGTGACAGCCACGGTCACTCCCACCGGCCAGGTGCTTCCACTCCCTGCCCGTCTGACTCAGAGCTGGCTGCCCATATTCACCGCTTGACCCGACCACCTTCAATCACCTGGGTTACCAGCGTGGCTCTGACACGGAGAGCCCCAAAGACCCCTCCTCTCTGATAGAAGGTTCTAAGCATCTCTGATCTTTAGGGGGAGGTGGGAGGAGTAGCACTTACTAAACCCGCAGGCTGTGTCAATGGTCACTGTTTACACAGACCCACTGCCACCTCTTGACCTCCCAGCTCACAGAGTGAGTGGTTAAGGGACTTACCTGTTTGTAAACGAAGCAGCAGAGCCTGGCACAAAGGTCTGTAGTCTCCACCCCCAGTCCACTCGGCCCCACTGTGAGCACTGAGACCATAATGCCCCACAAGCCTCTCTCTCACCCTCACACTGCCCTCAACACCGTGGGCCCATACTGTCTTCAGCCCAACTCACAGACAGGAAGCCAGAGGTCAGAGGCAGGAAAGGGGCCGCCAAGGATACAGCTGCTGTGTGGCAAACTCACGATTTAAATCCAGGTCTTTTGATTCCAGCAGCCAGAGCTCCCCCAACACTCTACCCTCTAAGAGGCCAGGCCCAGCAAGGAGCGTGTCTGACGTAGGCGTAGGCCTGCTCCTGCTCCTGCTCCTGCTCCCACCACCACGCCTCCTGCCCGCACAGCTGGGCTCCCACCTTGATCTTCTGTTGGTAGATATTGTCGTCCTCAGCATACTCCTTGTACAGGACCGAGAGCTCCAGCCGCTCCGAGACCAGGGGGTTCTGCACAGCAATCTGCAGAGGGCAGGGAACCGTCACGCTCTGGCAGGCGGCAGCCAGAGCACCTACATCTAAAGGAAGGCGCTGGGCCGGGCCAGTCACCCAGCGGCAGTGACAGACACCCCCCCCCCCGCCCCGGGGCCTGAAGGCACCTAGGATCTAGCGCAGCTTGGAGAGGAAAGGGCTTCCAAAGCAGAGAAAAGCAACAGGCCTCAGACCCAGCCGATGCATCCCCATAACAGGGCCGCTGGCCACAGCCCCTCAGCCCCTCACCTCTTGTTGAATTCGGTCCTGCTGAGCCATGATGGCTTCATCATAGGCAAGACAGTTAACACCTGGAAGAAGGAAGCAGCCTCGGATTACGGGGGCCCAGGCCAGCTCCACCCCAGGCCGCTGGACCAAGGACAAGAGCAGCCAGGAGGGCAGCTTAGCATCTTACACCCTGTCCCACCCATGGTGTCCCCTGGCCAAGCCCTTCCCCTCCAAGGCCCTCGTTTTCTCATACTTGACATGCAGGACAGCAGTGACCACCCCAAGGTGTGTCCCTAGCCCAGCACCCCGTCTGGCTCTCACACACCCAGCAGCCTGGGAGCGCTCAGGGGCTGGGCGGGCGGGGTCCCCTGGGAAAGAGGCGGCAGAGGCCTGGGCTGTACTTGCTTGGCCCCGCCCTTCCTCTCCTGCCGTCCCGTGCATCCTTTTGCACTTAGTTTTATTGACAGTGTCACAGATATCTCCCATCCCCCAGTCCCCACCCACCCCCAGCCCTGTGTATTCTAGTGGCGCCCACTTTACAGGCAAAACAAACGCCCAAGGTCACCACTAGCGAAGACGTGGAGCCGTTGCCCACCCCCAGGTGAGCGCTGCACACAGTCCGGCTCCGGGCGCCTCCCTGCAGAGCTCCCTCCCCCAAGACATCGCGGGGCTGGTGCCCGCGGGGCTCTCCGAGTCCCGGTCCTGGCTCCTCCTTAGCTTCCGTGACCCCGAACCAGACCTCCGGGCCGGGGCTCCCGGGGCTGTCCCTCGCGGCTAAA